TAAACTGGTGGAAAGACAAGTGTTTCTTTCACAAACTTATTGGGTATTCTGGAGATAATTGAACGGTTTCCGTTTCTTGAACAGACGGCGATAATAAAATCAAATTTTGTCTCCTGTCTCCTCACTCGCTATTTAAGGCATAATACATATTTCCTTTGATCATTTTTATAAGACTCTCTGTTACCAATGTTACAAACGTAAAAATTTGTGTGTCGATGTTGGATTTCTGTGTTGTAACACCGCGTGGACTTGTCTGTATATAGCCAACGTTTTTTCTGATCCCTTAAATGGAGTAGCATTATCTTCTTCACAGCTGAGAACCTTAGATCCCATAATTATTAGATTTCATTGTGAAACAATAAGATGATCTATTTAATTTTGTTTAAATTAGATTTTAGAAATAAAATTAGCTTTTCATATGTTTTTTTAGCGTTCTCTATAGCACTGATGGCTTTGTCATTTATTTACTTAGAAGAAGTACGCCAGTCGTACAAGCATTTTCGTCGTCTGCCGTTTTCTATGCTTATTACTGTTTAGATAAAAAAAATTGGGATTAAAGGACACGTTATTTTTACATTACGGCTATTTTAGAGTATTGAGCAATAATTAGAAGTCCTCTATAAATGTGAACTTAGTTCATAAACTTAAAACCATCTGAATTGCCTTACAAGTCGGGACGGGCTGACTCTTGTGAATTATTGGGTTTAAGGAATTTTATAATTTTTATCAGTCTACAGACAAGGAATCTACTACAAATTTATTCTTTTTAAGAATCGGAAGGGGATTTACCCTATCGTCTTGGCAGTCACGGACAAGGACATCAAGAAGTTGTGATGCGTGACATTCAACCTCACAGGGGGAAACCCAGGCCATCGCGGCATTCTTTAATTGTATGCATGTAAAGCGAAACCAAGGTAACAGAACTCGGTTAAAAGCGAATCAGCTGTTGTTCAAATAAAAGTAGTTTCCCGAGAAAAAGTCTAAAGTCTACATGACACTCGTTGTTTTGCCTTATTTGATGTCAACGAAGGTAATATGCATAATCACGTATACAAACAGATACTGAAATTCAAACAATTTCACGTTTTACTGGGCACGTTTTATGCAAATAAACCATGCAATATTTTTCTTCCTAGTAAATGTCTCACAAAAAACGAGTGTCAATATTAAAAAAAACATACCTATAATTTAGCTTGTTGTTTTGTGTGGGTGTAAAATTGGGTCTCTCACACGTTGAGGGAGTTTTAAAACACGTTTCTGATGATAATTACCTATGAAGGATGGGGCGAAGGGAAGCTGGAGATAACTGCATAATGAGCAGATTCATAATTTGGACTCTTCACCACGTGTTAGGACTATAAAATTAAAGACAATAAGATGGGCAGGGCATTTAGTACGCATGGGGAATATAATAAATAATTAACATTTTTGTTGTGAAACCGAAAGGGAAGAGACTACTAGAAACATTTATGAGTAAAGAACAGGATAATATTAAAATTAATTTAAGAATTATAGCGTGGAGTGGGGATTGGATTTATGTGGCTCAGGATAGAAACCAGTAGCGGGGGTCTTGTGAACACGGGTCTCATGAGACCTGACTAGCTGAGCGACTACTAGCTTCTCAAAAAAAGGATTCTACTTTATGGAGATAGCGAATGTAATAAAAATAATAGTTATAATTTATGCTCGTGAATAACTTGCTCATTTCTAACACCGAAAGCTCTATCTTTATTTTTTTTACATGGGAGTTGACACATTCGAAAAATAACGCATTTAAAGGAGTTTTAAAAATAGATTTCACCCCATCTTGTACCAATAACACGACGTCAAACGCGCAATGCTGACCCTGTGCATATATGCAAATAGGAGTAATAATTACATACAAACATGTTTTATAAACATAATACCGTCATAAAGCTATTAAAAGGAAGCTGACACACTGTTAAGAAGAACTCCTACGCTTGTGCGCTGCTGGGCGCGGTAGGTCATGGGCATGCCCTTATATCAACACACCCTTTAAGACGCCTGCTTTCGGAATGCCTACTAGCGATTTTGCATCTCCCAATGTCCCTGGTTTTCAATTACTGATGTTACAGATCCGTTGTTGCAAAATCGATCACATTGCAGGTATCATGGTGCGTATATGCACATTGTTTTATTGTACTTCGTTACGTATTTATAATACTGAAAAAAAATCAAAACGAAATCTTAATTCATGTTATTAAAAAAGTCTTGTACGATGAACTGTTTTATCTATAAGTTGCATCACATGTTACATGTTTTAAATCGACGAAGTTTGATTGTATGTCATATAGACTAGAGCGTGGGTTGTAACGGGATTCACGCTGACCGAGATTAAATTCATCCGACGCCATTTGGCGTTAATCCCCCATACCAAAACTCATCGTAATTCACCTTTCTATTCTTAAGGGATCTGAGGTTCTCGTGGAAATTAATATGAAGTTTGTGGCCTACTGGGTTGTGACGCCGAAATTTAGTAGTGACGATCAGTGTTTCAGAGAAACGTATCGCCTCCATCTTCAGGAAGGCTATATGTTCGTTCGAAACCTTACAATACTTCGTGACGTCACAATCCAGATGACCACATATCCACCTGCATCTCTTGCTAGCGTTCACGATGTGTGCCCTCAGATAATGAATGAACTTGACAGCTCCACTACAGACAGACTGAAACAACAGTCCCTATTTGCACTGTGGAAGATGTGTCTCTACACATTTTATCATTAGCAAACATCCATCATTTGGCAACACTGTTAGAAGGTGAATAGTACGGTACCTGATGTTTATTTATGTCTGTGTCCTATAAGTTACCTTACTTGTGAAAGTGAGAAAGCACTTAACTTAAAAATCGAAGCAAATACATTTGAGGTTCTCATGGCTATGAGTATGGCATTCGCCCTGATGATGGAGGCAGTAAGAACCTCTGAAACATTGGCAAACTTCTATTAGAACACACGGTGCTATAACCCAGAAGACAGCCATATTCAAACACATTTCTGGCCTATCAGTGAAGTGGGAGTATTTGAACCACGGTTAAAATTTATGCTGTTGATTTTTTTATCAATAGTTTACTCAACGTATTTCCTTATTCCAGTGCCTTATAATGCGAGCATTTCTCTGAATGCAGATTCAATACATTGCAGGCAGAGCTCATTAGAAGGACACGGAATAACGGAGGAAAGAGCGTGAGGTTGGATGAAAGGACAGGAAGAAAGAAAACACATAAACAGATGACAAGAAGGAAAATAAACAGAAAGTGAGAATGGGTGAAAGGAATAAATTTATGAAGGAAGAAAGATAAAGGCAGCTAGTATATAAGATAGAACAAACAAAATGTGAAAGAGGAACGAAAGATGAAAAGGAAACAAAAAAATGGAAAGATATCAGATCAAATAAGAAGATACAACGCAATAAATAATAAATGGATAAACTAAGAAATTAAGGATGAAAGAATTATAAGATTCCGACCGCATGTTTTGATTTCCGTAGTCTTCAAACAGCGTGTTGTCGTCACGACAGACAGTAGAGCATCGTTATATAAACTGCACATCAACACAGAGTAATTAGAAGCACGTGCTAGTATTTAATTGAATTTGCAGCACGATATAATAAACACTCGAGAAGCGCTAACACATTACACACTTAGCGAGAATGGACCATGGTAAACGATATGGATTCTATTCACTTATTCATGACCTCTGATTTATTTCAATATTACCCTTCTAACTTTCTTATTTACCCACGCGACCTTCTGTGTAACTTTGCTTTAAAGCCAGTGACATACTGCAGGACATTTTAAAAATAGAAAAACAGCGGATAAATAATTCTAAAATGTGGCAATGTTTAAAAATTTGGGGACGGTAACAAATCAAAACTGCATTCACGAAACAAATTAGGGGGGAATAGTTTCGGAAAATGCTTGTTACCATGTACTTCAGAATACTTAATTTTCCCATCTGCTATCAAAAAAATGTAAAGATAATACGCAAAGTTATTATTATACCTGTTTTGTATGGATGTAAAACTTGGTCTCTTAAGCTGTGGGAAAAACAAAGATTGTAGGTTCTGCGGGGAATATTTAGACTTATAAGGGATAAATTAACAAGAAGCTGGAGAAAGTTTTACGAAGATGAGCTCCGCCATTTGTACTTTGAACATATACTATGCTGATCAACTCGAGGAATGTTAAATGAACGGGACGTGTAGCACGCATGGGGTATGACAAACACGAACAAAAGTCTGATTGGGAAACTTGGATGTAGGAGAGAGTTCATTGTAACACTCAAATAGCATGATTGGATAAATATCTTTAAGATGATCTTATGTGGCCGAAATTTTTGTAGGGATGAACGGTAAACATGCTGTTGGTGCTAATAAAGTGAACTATCGGAAAGCTTTACGACGGTGGTTTGCAATGATCTTTTTATAACGCAAATTCTTACTTCGTCACTGATTTAAGGTTTCTGTTATTACAGTAGTGGTACTAGTATTCTGACCAACGTTCTTCGTCACTGGAATTCGGGTTTGTTTGCTGTCACTAAATTTCGTAAAAATTCGTTTTACATTGATTAGCACAAATCCATTCGTTATGCGGAAATATGTCCGAAGCAATTTAAATATTCCTAACTCCTTATCTGTCACTTTATTGGGGCACTTCTAGTCGTCCTCATAATGACACTGTTAACTAATTATGTGCCATAAAACCGATTTACAACGCAATAATCAATCGACAACATAATATTGAAATTCCACTTGTTGTAAATCAGTAGTTCTGCGATTGAAACTAATAACATTGATCCGCTTCTTTGGAAAGATCTTTTATACAAAAGTCTGATCCATAACACGTATATCCGATAGAAATGTGACAGTTTCTGTGTTTCATTTTTAGTTATTTCTGAAAAGAAAAGAACGACTCTGTGATCGCTGTGGCATGAACCGAAGAAACTGCCTGATAGGCCGCTGAAAAGATTCGTACTTACCAGCAGAGTGATGACAATCAACTTGCAGCTGATCGAGGCAAACATGCTGACATGCGTGAAGACGCTGTTGGTTGTCCGTGTACACAGAAGTACAAAACTATCGCCAAGTAGAACGGTCGCCCGCTGACCGCGAACTGCAGGAAAACTGCTTCTGACTCTCCTAGTCCTCGAGACTCTCCCCTCCCCCTGCCTAACGGCGGTAAAGAAGAATTTCACCTGTAACAGGCATAGTTTGGCAACAAAATGGAAGTCTCAAGTTTTGTTAAGATGAGATGGTGAACGTTCCCTTGTTCTGTGTTTTCTCCAGGATCTGAAAGCTGCGATTAATAGTTTCAGCCTGATGTGGGTTCGTCGTTCCACCAGACAAGTTGCTTTATTGCTAAATAATGCTGTTCTGATCGTCTTAGTGTAATTTCTCTTTATAAACCGTAGGCTATTGACCATGCGTAGGGTTTCTTTCCCCTTGCATAACCTTCGGCTACCCGATAGCTGATTTTCCAGCAGACCAACAGGACGGGGCCTGTGGAAGATTCGTTTGTACTCTGAACAACATTAAGAAGATTACTATCTTCGATCGGACGTAGACTTTTAATGGCGCTATAACCCAGAACACAGCCCGCCATCTTCATACTCGCCGCCGTGAGAACCTCAAATCATACTTCCCGTTATTCGAAGAGGAAACATAAACTAACAGTAAAAATGCAACTCACACGGCTTTAAGGCGAACTTTTGGCTCCAGACGTTAAATGCAGGAAATGACCACACTCAGTCGGAGCCAATGCCTCGCCATCGAAACTGTGCAAGCCTATTCACTTGTCGGGTTTTATTGCCTGGAATGCGACCCGCGAGAAATTTGTCCCTTTGACAGGCAAAATGGGTTTTGTTATTCTGTGAGATTGACGGCATTGCCGGGTACAATACCGCAAAAGCTCGTCCTTTCTTTTCTAGGATCCACTTTGTTGTCTACCGACTTCCCCTACTCCAGTGTGACTAACTGTATACATGCGGTCATAACTATGTTAATCGTGTAAATTCCCTTTTTGTGGAACTTAAAGTTTCATCATAATTTAAAAATCCTCCGGTATATTAGTTTATTTATTTATGGTTCATTTAACGACGCTTTTTCAAAAGCTCAGACTATACAGCGTCGGTCGCCGGTTTTCGTTCGGTCCACTTCATATCTTTATAACCTACTTTTCTGAGATTTATTTCAATATTAATTTTCCATTTACAATTAGGTCTCCAATTTGGTTTTCTACCTTGAGGTTTTACAGCTAACACTGTGTAGGCCTGTGCACTTGTTTCTTCCATGCATGTTAAGACCTACTTTCCATCCATCATGATTAATAATTTATTTATGTTTTTAATAACACTTAATGCAGTTGTCAGTTCCGAGTTTAGGATAAAATCCTCTCATCAAGAAATCGTTTTTAAACGTTGTCGTCTGATCATAAAGAAAGAAAGGAATAATATTACGCCCGTTAAGGGTCCAGAAGTCACAACACCGCATACAGAATGTTTTCCACTTCATCTTATACTAGGCGAGATCAGTCTGGGTTACACCATAACAACTTGTTTTGAAGATGGGTTGTATTGTCATACTCCACATTTCAAACTGATTTCCTACCAAAATCGTGTAAGTATCTCTTATTTTGCTCATTACTGCACACCTCAAGAAACTACCAAGGTTTCATCACCTTAGAAATGTCAATTTAAATAGGATATCTAAATATTAAAATCACTCAGTACTTTATTTTACTGGTGAACGCCCTGAATATTAAGGCATCAAGCACTTTTTGAACGTCGGTAAACTTCTACTAAGATTACAGGGCGCAACATCCCAGAAGACAGCCATATTTTTACACGCCGACCGTGAAAACCTAAAATTTCACTTATTTAAGATCTTGGCTTGTAGAGACTGAGTAAAACCATCAACATCCTCGGAATAACCAGGCCGGGATTCTAAATAGACCTCCCCCTCCCCCGGGGACACAAGTTGTCGCTACAATTATTTATATTTTTTATTTAACTTACTTTCGCCATTTGAGACAATCCCCTTAAAGAATGCAACCTGGCAACTACGGTAACACTCGGCACGTAATGATAATGGAATAGTTTGTAGATGAAGGAAAATCAATAGCACACACCCTTATCGACCAGTCCCGTTGCATGTTGCCGATGGTGCAACATTTTAACAAAACCTGTAATACAAGGGCAAATGCTTCGTGAATAATTACTAAGTCGTGTTTGCATTTCAGTCAGGATCATTGAACAATGTTGCAACAACTGTGACCGTTGTTCAGCGTATCTAGTAGGTCCACTATTGTTTGACAAATGTTATAAAACCATTTTAAAAAAGGAAAATAATTCCGCGTGTTTCAGAAAAATTGTTTGTTGTCTGATTCAGGTGTTCTGTTTCTCCCACCCGTCTGACCCTTGTTGGTTTCATTATGACGTTCCTCATTTTTTAATTGTCTAAATCTTATTCTTACAAAGACATAAAATCGGAACTCGCCATGAAAGTTTCGCCAACTCCATATCGCTGCCTGTCTTAATAAAGTAGATTTATTAGTTAAATGGAGACGAAGAACACAAAATGAGTGGCTGGAATCAACAGCCTTCCGTCCGTGACACCGTGAATAAACAAGCCAGAAATTCAATAAGAGTCGTTATCTCAAACATTTCTAAGAAAACGATTTGTACTATTGGATATTCAAATTCATAACAAAGTTCAAAGTTATTTCATATGTATAAAGTGCATTTTAACATGCCTTAATCTTACTTAAGACCTCGGTAACAGCACCTTAATGGCATACCATATTTTTTTGGAGCAAATAGAAGGGCTTGCAGAGGTGATTTTGGCTGTAAGGGTAGATCGTTCAATATAACATTTTCTCTGCCTTCATGACATTATCACCTATCGTACTGAATATTAATGCTACAAATGAGACTCTGGCGACAGAATCACGGTCAGATAACCATATATTCGTGTAAGTTTGTAGTCTAAGCTGTATGTTGCTTCTGGGATTTGATTAAAAATGTTATTTTACTTTTAAATAATTGCTACAGATCAGAACCATAATTATAAATTGGGAGCGTTTTGCGAGGACCACCTCCTGAGTTCTCTAGTAATGTTAAATCTGAAACATCTGCTTGGTTTCGCTTGTTGAGGCATAGGGTTCTGTAGGAAAGCACAGGGATAGTTTTAGAAGTGATTACTGTGATGTTTCTGTGTCGTAATTAGGTCCACGGTAAGCTGATATGAGCACAAAACCATTGAGCCACGAGTTCATAAAATACATGTAATTTGTTCATCGTTCATTTTAATTACATAATTATATATCTAAGACATTCAGTATCAAGAGGCAGATCTTGTGCCACTTTCGAAGGAATTGCCGAGTTTCGTTTTTAGCAAGTTTGCTTCGTCCAAACCGCTTAAGTTTTAACTGCAGTCAAAGGTGAAGTTCTTGTTTCAAATGCATTCCCTTCTCACACACATTACACCCATAGGGTAAAATATTGTTCTCCCTTATACGTCATTAAACATTTACCATATCAAAGAATATTTAAAATAAACGTTTAAAATCGAAATTTTGTTCTATGTTGCGTAATATAAATATTCTTCATTTAAATAACTATGTGGAAAATGTATTTAAGTTTTGTATTACACCGATATGATCCAATGAAATTCGCCCAAGTACATTTTATTGGATGCACACAATACCAAATTTCGCCGAAATATGTAAGGTAGTTTTCGAGAAAGAACCCGCAGAAACAGACACGTTGACCTCATTATGCGTTATTTGCAAACACACACAAAAGCAGTGCCTTCAAAATTCAGTCTTTGCTACGTGTCTGGTAACCGAGTAAGGGGTAAGTGGGGATGAATGATCATGACTGTGTCGCAATGTGGAAGTATGACTGGTAAATCACAGATGGGGTTTATAAATAAAGGATTTCCGTTAAAGAATGTGACGGCTGTGAAGTCTGTAGATAAGGAAAGAAATTAAATAAAACATTATTGATAAGGTCATGGGTCATATGTGTCTCTAATCTGATACTATTCCCGGAAATTCTGTACTCAATACGCATTTACAGACATCCAGAGACCAACAAGTAAATTGTTTTAAACAAATTACAACATAATAAATAAATTACAAATATAAATGGCAGTAGTCTACGTTTAACGAACTATTATAAGAGCAAAATTTTTCTTCGGAAGTTATCTGCTTATTTGGCGAATAAATCTCTGACATTTTACGGAACACGAAGGTTTTTGTAGTGCTCACAAGGGGCCGCCAGTGGTTCGTACCCTGTCCCAGATATATCTAATCCACCAAATAAATAATTTTATTGCCATATTAATAAAGCAAAACAAACCAACTAAATATATAAAAATTAATTAAATCTACAAGTACCCAAATAAGTAATTATTAACAACAGAAGCACACAATATAAAACTAAGTAAGTAATTAAATATTTTACCGACGTCTTAATTAACTAAGTAGCCAACAAGTAATTACAAATTTTTAAATATCAAATCCCCTGGCTTATTACTTACCATATATTTAGTAGTACATTCTAAGATAAATCTGTTTTGATGCTGTTAAATTTCAGCCAACTTAACATTTAGCTCTGCTGTTTCTTCCTCTTGATTGAATCATTTTATTATTCGGGAAATCCCATGAAAGGTTGCAGCTTGCACGCATGTGTGTGTGTGCGTGCTTTCGGATGGATGCACGCATGTGCAAGATCTCCGTCAAATTAATTTAAATTCTCTTCTAAGCAAATAGGAATATCTTGCAAACATATTCAATGCCTCTGGGCTAGACAAATGACCTAAGTACACTCCCGACTCATTTCGTCTTTGAGGACAGTCCCTTTTACCTGCTGGCCATTACAAAGACAATTGATCCAAAAAGGGTCAGACACTTTTCGGCTGTGTCTAGACCATCTCTGGAGCCATCTTAACTCCCTGTCCAACAGATATCTTTTTACTGGGGGTTGGCTGGAGATTTTTACAGATACATATCTATTTTTGCAACACTTATGCTACGTGTAGCATCGCTTCGAATAAATATAGTTAATAATAACATTATCTATGCTTTGGTTTGTGTGCTATTGTTTTCAAATGAGCCTCTTCTGGAAAGCATATAAAG